AAGATAAATCTTAAAGAGCGTAAAAGTAGGTTTTATTGATAATAACTTGAAGGTAGGAAATAAACAAGAAGAACGTGTGAAGAGCTCATACTCGGGGTCCTAGTTGACCCTTTATCTAGTAGCTCTTCACCTGGCATGACTCATACCTTGCGTCACGCGAACCCTGTGACTCATAACCATGAGTCATACGAAATCCATCAGATGACTTGTATGAGTCGCTGCGCAACATGCCTTAACCAATCAAAACATAATAACCAAATCAGGTGCGCAACTCGCGTCACCTGAGTGAAACCCATGACTCATAAGTATGAGTCATGTGCGAAATCGTAACATCGTGTGACTCACAACTGTGAGTCACGAACAGGTAAACATAATAACCTATGGCGCCCTAGTATGCGTCATGTGAAATCCCAACATACCTATAACTCGGAAATCTGAGCTATGTGAAATCTGCCTTGCTTAGTCACAGTTTGTGACATCGGCTCGTGCCCTACTGCCCAGGTCCTTGGTAGCCTCTTTATCACCATCGTAGCAGCTCCTTTATTTGCCCCTCCTAGCTGGCTTTGTCGCATGCCTTCTGCCTGGTGGTATCAGCCACCTCCTCCTCCTGGCTCTGACCTCTGGTATTGGAGCTCCTCTATCCTTCAGCTAGTACCATGCTGTCCAGTAGCTCAGCTGCCTCCTCCTTCGGCTCTGACTTCCTTCATCATGGCTCAGGCCCTCTCAGAGTCATCTACTGCAGCTGGCACCTCACTGCATACTACTTTGTTGTTTTGGAGAGTGCGAGTTGCTCACCTGCCTGTTACAGGACCTGACCTGGCTCTCTCTCCTTGGCTTTCAGTGCCCTTTCCTCTCAGCTGTGTGGACTAAGAGCCCTCTATTCTCTAAAACACAAGGCACTCCGTCCCTCTGTAATTAGGTGTGTCTAGACTGCGTAGATTTGTTCGGGGAAAATTGGGCTAGAGCGGGCCTTATGCTCCTTGTTCTTCTGGGGTCGTGGATTCTAGCAGGTTTTAACTTGATTATAATATCAGGTGGGAGGGCTTCTTTGGCTTGAAGATGTTACATCTGTTGTCTATGGAGGTTTTCAGGATTTTTTGTATTTAGCCTCATCATTTAGGAGCAGTATTTTATACCACAGAGGGTTTTTCCTTCCGTCTTGAGAGTGGATACACCAGGTGGAGGTTTTTGTGGCCATAGTATGAGCTGTATATCTTCTTTGTACCTACTTAATCAAATGAACTGATAAAAATAAAAGTAAATTATCAGAGGTTCAATAAAATTCCTGAAGATAAACTGCCTATTATGCAGGAGAGTTTTATTGAGGGAAAGCGCTACCAGGAGGTGATGTAGTTTCCTCACAACTGCTATTGATAAGAGTAAGCAGGAAAACAAATGAGTATCAAACAAATCCTATTTAAAATAGAGAAAATAGAATGGAAAATACTATCATGTATATTCAAGAACACTTGGTTGTCCAGGATGCAGCTCTGATAGTGGCTGCTGTGTAAAGGTAATTAATCCTTGTTGCTGAAAGAGACTTTCTGGATCAGAAGTGTCTTCTCTAGGAGGAGCTTAAGTTTTCACTTTTGACTTTTAGAAGATAATCATTTACTTGAAGCGCTATTGTGAGCCAAATCCTATTGAGCCATATTAGTGTAGTGTAAGGCAAAGTGGTTTACCTAAGAGTACTACAACTATACTCTGACTAGCCTCCTACCTACAATTACATTAGTACTCTCATCTATTAAAAATTCTACAATCAATAGGGTTCTCCAGTAGTCTTGTCAAATGGTTGAGGCTTTCATAATAGGAACAAATATGGCATGAAGGCTTTCAAAAATCACATAAATACATCTATTAAAGCATACAGGATTCATTGAAGTGATACATTTCTGTTTCTTTAAGCTTGATCTACAACTCTCTTTCTTCTTTTTACTTATCAATCATGTTGCACACATACAAAATTTCTAATAACAATTATTTCCTATCATATACAAAACCTGTCCTTTTAAATTTATTATAGCTTGTTAGTAGCAGACACAAAACTAAAACTAACAACTTACCCCCAATATATACCTCTTAGACTCCCTTATTAAGTTGTTATTAGATTGAAATCTGCTGCCATTAGTAAGCTATAAAGGATAATAAAGGATTACTCGGATTACTTGATATACCTAGGTTCAAGGAGTCCCATCCTATAGCCTCTTAGAATACGGTTCGCGTATAGGTTCCGCCCCTGGGTACCATATGTGCGGGACCCTTACTGCTCAGGGAATGTTCCAAACTTCTGGAAGATTGTGGCTGTGCTCGTGTCAGAATATCTCGGCCCCATAGTATGATGTTACTTGTAATAGTGAGCAGTCAGACCTGCTTGTTTTAATTGCAACAAAAACCCCGCACCACGAACACAAACACTATCTCTCTGGGGCGCAGAACCGGGACTTAATCGGCCAAGACAGCTAGCTAGTCATACTGATATTGCGGCACGCCGAACGGGCCGACCATTACCATCCATCCTTGACTAACTAGCCTCACAATTAATCACTCGGTTGTTCAAATGTCAGTGCCATCCTCGGCTCTCTCTGGGCTAGAATTTCCGGCGCCCTGATACCATTCTAATAATAGAAGCTAGTTTCTTAAAGAAAACTTCTTGCCTTTTGCCCCGCCCCCTTTTGGCTGACGAAACAATACGGCCGCTGTCAATTATTAGAATGGCGAGGGCTGCTAGGAATCCGTCAGATACGCCGGCCGACTCTTGTTTTTACGGTCTTGGTCTCCAATAGAGCCATCACTGACTTGTTTGGGGATTGTGCAATGTTGCACAAGATCCCTCTCCAACACAAGCCTACCAGCACTTCATGGACTTACAATAACCAAGGACTAACCCCAATGCCCTGCGAGAAAGTGGCCCGGCTCAGGACTGGTCCAGAACAATTGACTCAATGCTCCTGTTCCTTGAGGGAGCCCTAGCTCCTGAAGACACTGTTATAAACCTGACGATTATTACATTGAGCCGGGGAGTATGGTTAACTATGGGGGGAGTTGATTGGTTGATGGGCTATCTCGACTCTCCAGGACCTGATTTCACAGTCAGAATTCCACCTCATCTTACCGTGTAGTTACTACAGACGAGAGTGATCCGGAATTATCCTGGTTGTTTATCAGCCTGGTTGGTAACAGGACCCCCTCCCTTGGTATTGGCAATGCGGTAGTAAACAAATTTTCGTGCGGCGCTGCAGATAGATTCCGACCAGGCACTACATATATCAGCCCGCTGCCCGCCAGCGAAGCCAAAGCAGTCTTCAAATCTCTTGGGTCCCTCCAGCTCGGGCGTTGGGGCAGGCCTCGACTTGTTGGATCTTGTCATAGATCTTGGCCCTGATCTAGTGACCAATTGTCCCAGCTCCTGGTTCCCCTTGGATGCATAGGCCCAATCGTGTCTGGAGCGACAAATATTACTCACGTGTAATGAGGCCGTAACGTGGAACAATTTAGCCGGAAAACCCGCCAAGATCCCACCGTATGGTGACCTTCAATTATGCTAAGGTGTTACAAAAGCACGCCCCGTTTGGCCTTCGTGGGGCAGCTCAGATGCCGCATCTATTGATCGCCGACGGTTCCCTTGGAATTTGCCCTAAGAAGAAGCGTTGACCAACGGGCAAGCAGTAGGTCCTGAATTGAGCTCTTTGCCGGGGTTGCCAGCCAACAGCAGCCCATGTAGTAACCCGAGCATAGGATATGGCAGGAGAATACCGCTGTAAGTGTCTAAGAAGCTGTGTTATAATGCCGTGATCACCCCGACCGAATCTAGGTTTAACAGCAGAAAGGGGCTCTGGTGAGGGCTCCCTTCCCGAGACACAACCTTGGCAGCCTACTCGCATCTGTCCCCGATGGAGCTACCGGTACAAGGTGCCATCACTCTAAACGCCACGCTCCGTCAAAAGAAAAGGGAAACTCCGCTGGTGTCGAGTAACCCATACCAGCATTCCAAGGCCCCTTGGTAAATAGGAAGGTTTCGATTTCAGTGGTGGGCAGGTTACTCGGACCCTCTAGCTGATTCCTACTTTGTGACTCGTGATAATCACATGGATGAAATCCTAGACCGGGGTCGTCATTCATTCGAAGGAATAGACGCTTGGTAAATCTCCTAAAAGATAGCACCTGGGAATAGTCCTTGGTTGGCCAAAAAAACACCTTGAGGTCAGGCGCACCGAAGGGTAGTCAGTAGTTGCGGTAAGGGCCCCTGATATTGCTGTCAGAACCCTGGTAGTTTTGAGTAAACAGGCACCTCGCAGATCGAACAACTTTTCGCTAGAGTGTAGGGTCTCTGGCAGGATAGAGGTCCCGAAAGGCTTCTTGGAACATCTCCGTGGTGGGCGGCAGTGTGGGTGCCTCCTATCATAGCCCCCTAGAGTTAGGTGTTGGGGGGGGGGGGGGGTGCGGGGCTACTCAGGATGGGTTAGTAAGCAAATATGTTGGAGTGGAAGGTTGGAACTTGGAGAGAGCTGTCAGTGGAATGGGGTGAATGTTATGCGCGCCTGGGACACTCGGAGCTTCGGATGGGGTTTAATTTCCCGCAACGGTTTGGTGTTCGCCTTCCGGCCCTTGAAAAACTTTAACCCTTACCTTGAGCTCCCAGCATCCAAATCACAAGCCCAATCCAATCTTCCACCCCACACACTCTCCCCTCCATCGTTTTCTTTCTTTCTTTCCTTTTTTTTTTATAAATAATACCGGAATATATTCCACCTTCTTTATGTCAACCATTCGGACAATTTCCTCTTGACCAGAAACCACCCTGCGCACTCGCAGCTAGGCCGCGTAAGTAAACAAAGCCCCTTTCTTCGCCTCCGATATTAACCCACCGGCATTTACCGCGATCGTCCTTTGGATGGACTTTCACTGCGCCTGCTCGCACACTAAATTCATCATAGGAATTGCTGCCGTGTTAGACGGATAACTTCGCTTCTGGGCGCTCGCTACCTCATTACGCTACAATGGCCACAAGTGAGAGTGCGCGAACTAAGTTTACTGGCAATACATCTCTATATGTATTCATAGCGCGTTTTCGGCCACCCATCTTCCTCCAGCGCAACATTGAAACGGTTCTTAGGCATTGCGAATTGGAGAGGGTGGAAGAAGGAGACAGTGAGGTATCGACACCTAGTTCGGAAACTTCGACTCTTAGTGATCCATGGTCGAGGTCTTCAACGAGTGCAAGATCCCCCACGCGTCGTACGGAGTCGTTGAACCAAATTATTAACAGACTAAGGCCTCCTATTCCTACCGGTGGAAAGATGGAACCTGTTTTAAAAATTGAGGCGAGATCATTGATGCGCAAACGGCTACACAAACCTCGAGTTCACTCTTCCAGTTCCAGTAAGCTTATCGAGACTGCGAGAGAAAATAGAGCTTTGTTGGAATTAATTCCTCCTGTGTTAGATGATCGTATTAGGGCTACTCGCATCACTGGCGATCGTCGACCTTTTGATAAACCCACCAACATTCGTTGCCGGTGTGAGCTCACGATCTTTGAGAAACCCGATCCTTTGAGGTCCGCACAACCCTCAAATGTACGGCGAACCCGATCCAGGTCCAAGGAGGAATCTAGCATAAATCCACTTGTTCGATACAGGCAGTTTTGCACAATCACTTATCGTTCTGAGGAGTCTGCGCGCATCGAAATGCAGGATCCGTTTTATATCAGGGCTGGCGAGCTCTTCGTATTTACCAATCGTGGCCCCATCCAGAGTTTCGGGCTGGCCGAGAGTTATACAGCTGAATTTGCCTTACAGCCTATCAGTACCAACCAACCTTGGCCTCCCTTGATCTCAGACAGCTTAGGAGTGTGGGACGACCCAACTACCATCCAACTTGTTGGAGTTTTCCATTCTCTCCCTATGGCTCCCGCAACTGCTCACCATGATCTCGAATTCCGAACAGGTATGCTAGGTGAAACCGGTCGGCTGGCCGATATCCAGCTTGAACTGGACTGCAAATGGGATAAACAAGGCACCATCGCACATGGCGCAGAAGCTTACCAGCTCATGCCCTCCAGACTACCTACCCCGGTGTCAGAGAGAGGGCGTGATTGTTCGCCTGTAGACTCTCCACTAACTTGTTACGTTTTCAATGCCCCCTTAGATGACGAACGTTTCCATGGGTATCTAGGGCAACCGACTATCAGGCGTCAGCATGCCTTTACTGTCCCCAGATATACATGCCCTTTTTGTGATGGGAGGGAATTCACAAATCTAACTAGTTTGCATTTCCACCTTACTACCTCGCACGATTTGTTCCAGTTCAAAGTAAGGTCAAGAAAGGCAACCAATAGTCTCAGGAGTAACGAGAGGCATGAAAATGTTGCGGAGGTCATTGTAGACCTAGCAAAAGACCCCATGGTTGGGAGAGCAAGTGACCATGTTCCGGATCACAGGACATTTCGCTGGGTTAAACCTTCAGAAATACTTGATGTCGATAGAATACTTAATGGCGACTGGAGTTGGCTGAACGAAAGGCGGGGCATGTCCCTCCAGAATCGGAGGGAAATGGCGACCGGAGGGACCCTAGTCCCCTTTTCTAAGAAGAGAGTCAATTTGAGTGATGTCGGGGATTTGCCGGTAAGCAAAAGGCAGAAATATCGCGTACCCGCACCAATGAATGGGCTGCAAGGGCTGGTGTTTATAAGGAGTAGATCGAAAAGATTTGTATACACGGGTGAGGAACTGAGTGAGAGTGATGATGATGTCGATGAGGGTTGGCTGCAAATGGAACACAAAGAAGTAAGTAGGGGTTTTGTAAGCTTTAATATTAATACTGATATCTAAAATTTTGTAGATCATCGAAGACTTCACTGACGTGGCTCGAAATGAGATGACTTTCATGCAGCTCTGGGACAGACATCTGTTTTTAGAACGGTAAGTCAAAATTCGCTTCTTGATTATCGCTTTACAACTAATTTAGAATAGGCCGATAGGATATTCACACATCCCGCAAGTCTTGATCCGCTTCGCCCGTCATCAAGCTGAAAACATGAGGACTTCCCAGCTTCTTGTTGAATTTTGGAAACATTGCCTGAATCTTGTTCAGTACGGAATAATAGATACCGAATGTGTAGCCTTCTGTATGAAGATCATCAAAGGCGAAGGTCAATGGTCATCTGCTGGACAAGCAGAGTGGGGGATCGGGCTGTCGGGGCCACTTGTACTAGATGCCCCGGAGGTCGCCCCAACCAAAGTTGAGGATGATACGGACATTCTAGACTGTCTGCAGACCCCGGAGATAAACTCGGGGTTTTGTACTTGCGGGAAACCGTTCGATAAGCCTGAAATGGTGCTTTGCAACGGAGATGTGAGTGCTTTCCTAGTATTGCAGCCCCTCCACACTCGCTTCCGCTTCGCTATCCAGATCCAAGAACTTCGGTCTCCCCTGAAACACATTGTTATATGCTAACGTCTCCTAGAATTGCAAAACGCGCTGGTTCCATAGATCCTGCATTAATGTAGAACGAAGCCAAGAGGGTTGGCGGTGTAAATTCTGTCAAGAAGAAGTCCTCCAGTGCGGCAGCTGATTCCTTTATGTAGGTACTACTCATAGGTGCCCGATTCACTCACCAACCATTCTGTGAAATACTAACTAGGAAGTTATTCACAAAATAGTAGGATCACCAATCTCCCTCAAATCTCGCTCTGGTATCGTGTTTTCTTAGCCCCTGCACGATGTCTGAAACAACATCCTCTAACGCTTCATTTCTTCTATCAGCCCAGCCGGCCCTTATGTACTAATAATACCGGATCCCGGGCGTTCACTGTACTTTTATTTCTTCCGGTTCGTTGTTATCCTTTATTTCTTTCGGTCTAGGAGACCTCATAGACGCGCCTGACAACGGCTTCACTCGAGATTATGTCTATTTTAGCGGTGTTTGGGTTTGGTGGAGGGTTGCTACAATCTCTAGATCTGGCGAGGTTTGAATAAGAGAAAATAATACAGTTTTCCTCCCGTACACGATTGCATTGCCATTGCTTGTTCCTGAGGATTAACACCGCCTCAAATCAAGCAGTAGCTATGATCTGCCGCACCCTAGCCGCTAAGGATGCGCAATACTCCAAGGGTGGGTAAGAAGAACCTCGTGCCCCATTCAAGCACGGGCACCCTCTTCTGCGGTAGCGTACTAGTTTCGCTGTTCTTAGGCGCTCTGCTGTCCGGCCTAGGGACGTGGTACGAGTAGAGTCTGGATAGGGTTGCTTCGGTCCCCAGATACTTGCACCTCGAGCACCAATCCAAGGCGGCAACGGCTCACACGCGGTGGCGGGGTGGGCACCAACGGCTGCCGGGCTATCTGTGGTCAAGGGCGAAGGGCTAAGGAAGGGGATCATCCAAAGCGTGGCGGGTGGCCAAAAAAAGTACGAGGCTGTGGACAAAAATCACCGCTAGCAACTACAAACCACAAGTCCGAAAAATCTACGATACATAAGCAACTATGAATATCTCAACAATAGTAGAAGGAAAATCAAAAATCAAAAATCAAAAGGATACAGGTAGTGAATCAGAACTAATAAAAGGTATTAAAATTCAGTTTGCATCCCCTTTCACTGTTTTGACTTGAACAAGTCTTGCTGGTATAATGTGTATATACTAATTGTAATCGTAGTGATGTAAATGATCCCACTTGTCCTGAACTGCTGTTCTCATCTCATGGATAGTTTTAGAAAAAGTATTCCTTCCGTTGATCCTTTACTTTATTATCTTTGATATATTCTTGATGGGATTAATGTCAGGTGATAAAGCTGGCCAAGCATGGAGTAGAATGTCTAATATCTTTTTAAGCTCAACTAGTATTTCTTGAGTTCCATGAATTGAGACCTAGTCTTCAACATATTGGGCTTCAGGAGATAGAGTGTAGTGGAGGAGGTTATTATTATTATTATTATATCTTATTATCTCACTTATGAAGCCAAAGGCTATGAAGTGGCACTACATACATCAGAGTACTCTCAAGTACCAGGGCTATGGATCCGTCAATTACTACATGATGGTGTTATCTTTTTATTGGGTACTCCGGCCAAAGTGCAAACAATAAGATAAAGTCCTCCTCCCCACCTAAAGTGGAACAAATAAAGAAAATACAAAGTAATAAAACCTAAACAGCCTGGTTCCTCCTATCAGTTGCTGCCTGGTGTGTGTGTATATAGGTAGGACAATCCTTAGAGGTAGTCAACTGATTGTTGCCACAGTTGAGGCAGAGCATTGTGGTGTGAAGGCATGGTTTGCCCTTGGCAGGGCAGTTTGACCTTCTGCAAGTATGGAGGTGGGCTGGATGTTTCTGAGAACATATTATACAGTGTGGGGTTTTGGTACATTGGGTTGGGTGCTGGCCAAACTCCAAGGATCTGAAGCATTGAGTGTCAGGACCAAAGGTGAGGTAACATTGCACCTTGAACTTCTTGTCAAAGAGGGAGAGGCCTCTGCGGAGGACTTTGTCTGTGGGGTCTTTGCTGACAATCGTGAGAACCATAGCTGATGCAGCTTTGTTCTAGCGTTAGGCCGCAGTGGTGAGCTATCTAGGAGGGCGGGGGAGGTGGGTACCAGGGTTGAAAGCTTCAATCTCTGCCTGGACTGCGGGGAAGGTAGTGGTGGTTGGGATGCTGTGAATAATCACCTTGTACTAGACTTTGGCTTTTCTGAGGTCAGAGGGGGCAGGAATGGTAGCTCTGATAGCTTCCTCAATAACAAAGCAGTGGTTCTTGAAGACAGTGGAGGCAGGAGTGTTATCCTTGGTGATGAGGAGGACATGGTGGTTATGGGTAAACTCAATAGTAGAGATAAGCTGTTTTTTGATTGCTCTGTTGACAGCATCGTGAATGTGGAGGTGGTTGGTGTTATCTGGGAGGGCAGTACCATCTCTTTCAATAACAACAGTATTGTTGCATTTGGTCAAAACTTTACCTGGTAGAGATTTGTTTGGTGTGGTTACAGAGGAGCGGGCAGGGAGTATTTTGGCTATTCTCTGGGCCCAGGATTACTGAGGTGGGGGGGTTTGGTACTATGGGGGGTGGAGGCTTGCTGTTGAAGCTGTTCTTGTTGGTGTGAAATTTCTGGCTTGAGCTCATCAATCTGTCCTTTCAAGAGAGCAGTGTCACTGATGTGCCTTTGCTAGACAACACTGAGGGGATTGATAAGTGATTGGAAGGAGTCCTCAAGGTAGTTGACTCGTAGTTTGGTGTAGAGGGAGGTATCTCTGTCAGGGTTGTTTGGTTCCTATGGGGACCACTGAGCAGAACCAGGTGTGGGCTAGTTTGGAGTAGCAGGAGGCTGGACTGTATCTACAGGAGAAGGAATATCTTCATCCATTGGGGTATCTCCAGGCGTGGTTGGAGCTGGGGTACCATGGTGGGGTTGGAATGGGTGTACCAGTAGGTTGGCAGCACCCCTGCCTCTGCCTCTAGCCATTGGAGATATCAGAGATGATGGGAGAACGACTCAGTTGATAAAAGGTGATGGAAAACAAATAATAGAGGATGATTTGTTGATGAAAAGTCTGTAGAGTGGGTGGGGAAGTGTGAAGATTTGGTTGTTGACCAATGAGGTAGGGGCTCAGCAAAAAAGTTGGTGTGGTTTTTTCTTTCACTGTGGTTGTAATGGCAATGGAGTCAGTGGAGGAGGTTGATATATACTTAGTGAGCCCTCAGCGAGGCATGGTATTGTCTACCACCTAAAATACTACTATTTGTTACAATCAAGTGACCTTAAACCCCTAGTGCCTCATTGAGGGTGCTGCCTCGCTGAGGGCTCACCCAGTCTACATCAGCAAAACCAGATGCTTGTGTCCCGTTGTAACAGGCAGGGTCTGAGGGTTGGGTAGTCCAAGGCACACCATAATAGAAGCTGGCTGGAGTTCAGAGATGAGGTCTGGGTGCTGGCATACAACTGAAGCAAGTTGTACAAGGTTTGAGGTTCAGGGGTTCAGGGGTTCAGGGTCAGGGTTCACAGGTTCAGGAGGACATGAAGCACAAGAGATCTGTAATTCCAGGGTACAGGTGTCTGGATTCAATCTAAGTTTGTTTTTACATGTTGCGTGAAATCTGGCTTACGATCGAGCGCCCTCCTATCAGCAGCTGAATGCTGGCCGGGGTCCACCGCTAGGACTAGGGCCCTGCTACCCCAGCTAAAAAAAGGCCACTAAATACAAGGTACTGATCCTCCGTCCCCATACTGTTAACCACTCCGGCGAGCAAGCACTAACACCAAAGCCAAAGTACAAGTCAATCAACAGTCTGGCACCCATCCGCTCCACCTAGCCAGGCCACAGAAATCCCAGCCATCAATAAATCACTACCACTGGCAGCATTGCTCCAGCCTTGCTGCCCATTCCTTATAACATCATAACAAAAGAAATCCAATAACATCAACCACACCCGGCACCCAAAAAAACCTTTCAGCACTGTCCCTCAAAAGGACTATGACAAAGGGACGGTACAAGGCCAGTTTCTCCTAAGCAATCAGTCGAGGCAGGCCTAACAGCGACACTCCTTACACCTAAATAGCCACCCTGAGACACCCCTAGGCCATTACCATTATAGGTATCCCAACCTATGTCGAGCCAACCATGTCCACCTCTTCTTCATGTTTCTCGGAGACCTCAGATTCTTGGGTATCTGGACAGGGGTGAGAAGGGCAAACAGTTGAATGGGATTCATGTGGACCACCACAGTTCATACACCTGAGTGTGGCATGGCTGCAGGGACGGCTACGAAGACAGCAGGTAGCAGTAGAGCAGGAGTAAACCCCAATAGGGTGAGGGAGCAGGCACCGGTGGCAGGACGCAGGCAAGATGCATTTAATGCTATGGTAACCAAACTTATGGCGGTTGGTACACTGAGTGTATTTGTTGAAGCGTAGATGGCCCTGAGTTCGGTAGGTGTTGGAGAAGGCTCAGAGGCGTTTGCTAGTGAAGGAAGGAGCCTTGGGTCCAGTGATGGAAATAACTACAGTTGAGGCGAGTTTGCCAATATGTGCTAGATCAGAGGTAAGCCACCTAGGCTGTTCGGTAAGAGATAAGCCTGAGTTGAATGTCGTGAGTTCTTGGGTAAGTGATGCCAGAGAGGTAGAGGTAGAGATGCCATGTACCAGAAGCTGGGGGGCAGGTGTGTCGAGGTGGACGGTAGAGGCACCAGGAATATGGTGCAAGAAGATGCCAACTTTACTGTTGACAGTTGAGGCTCTAACCGTGCCCATAGTGGTGAGAGTGACATGCCCAGCCCAGAAGGAGACAGACTGAATAAGAGTAGAGGCCAAAGCTGTAATGGGGGCTCCCTCAGGTAGATGGTGCCTAAGGATGCAACCGTACCAAACTTCGAATCTCTCAAACACAGCTCTTGCAAAGTGTAAAGAATAAAAGTAAATAGTAAAACTGGATATCGTTAAGCTTTGGCTTATCTCAATAAAAGTCTCTCGAGAGGATGTTGATTGTGTCGGGGTAGGAGAGTTCTTGTATAATCTTTAGGTAGTCAGACTTATAGCAAAAACTCCCCGATGAGGTTACCCCGACCAACAAGAGTATGCCCTTCTCCATAAGAGTTGCCGGCACCATTACTGTGTCCCCAAAGTACCTAAGGTGTCAGTGCACTCTACTAGAACTCTCCTATATGCACATCATTTCCTGCGAGATGTTTATCAATACATTTGCTAAAGTGAAAACATCTGCACATCGGTGCCTCGCCAGTGGCTAACTGTTGAGCCGCCTAGGAAAGCTAACTGAATGACTCTCTTCCCATGTGCTATGACCCATGCAAGCACTTGTACACATCAGCTGTCTTCCAGTTAAGTTCTATCTATCTTGACTGCGAACTTAGAAGGTCCACAATACTCCCATGGAGAGCTGTGGTAGAAACAGGGCCCGTGGGCACTACCCATAGTCCCTTACCCCCGGCACACCACTCACCATGATAAGTATCATGCTATTAGAGTCCTCAAGCAACCCACAAAGAGCCTACGGCAAAGGGGCACATGTAGGCTTCATTGGCGTAAAACCTTCCCAGATATCTTCGGCACTACCCAGCACTAGTCTGGGGACCCTTCTAGATAGCTCACTCTAATTCTATCAGTTTCGGTCTGTTTTACTCCATTCTTTTTAGAGAAGGTATCTGACATTCTCCCCTTGGCCCTCTTATATACCTTACGAACGGCTTCTGCTCAGAAGGATGGCAGCGACGTATACAGTGTCATAGACGGGTTTTCATAGACTTTATTTAACTAGTATGATGGCAACTTCAACCATTTTGGCCCATGAGGCAAGGGGGGGAATCCTGGGGCCGCAGGTACCCGTTAGGAATAATTCTGCCAAGTTACAGCTTGTTTGGAGCACTATAGCTCCTCCCGTGGTCTTCGGATCACTATGCGAGTAAGTATCCATTGATCGTCATTGCGTAACACGGTAAGTATGTCCATGGTGACACGAAACTAGTCTTTATGGTAGGATAATGTGACTGTTCTAAACACGGTAAACTCACCTGGCCTTCCAACCTATGCTTAGGTCAGAGTGGACATAGTTACATTACTTCTACTACTTCAGTACACCTATCCCATAAGTACCTTCTATTCATTTCAGATACCTGGACCATCAGATATCCCTCAGAGATGCACCAGCATGCCCACTGAGTCTACTATCCGACCTCCTGGGCTTATACATGGGCATAGTCTTAGGTTGCCATAGCGCTATAACTTAGCGTCATTACAAAGAGCAGGTTGATGCTGTCGTGTAGCTGTCCAGGACTGATGGTAAGGGGGGTGGCATCTTGCTTGACGATCAGGCACTGCGTACGCATTGTGAGGCACCTTTTCTTTTTGGTAGGAGGCTTAGCCGAGATAGAGGAGGATTTGGCTGTTAGGTGGCAGCCAATTCTAAGTTTGAACGA